TGTCTGTCTGTCTGTCTGTCTGTCTGTCTGTCTGTCTGTCTGTCTGTGGTTAATTGTCTTATTGCTGGGTCCTTGTAGTCTTCTTCATCATTCTGAGTCGACTGGAAGACCAAAACAAGGGAAATTATATGTGATATGACGAGATGAACTTGAAATGAGATGACCGAGGGGATCCCACATTCAAAAAACTTCTCGGAGTACTTACTGTATCTCCTTTTCGAAAAGGGAAGCATTGATGTAAGGAGACGGAACCCTTCAGGCACGAGATTTCGATACAATACGCCTTGGTGCTGTGTGGAGAAATCAGACCTCGTGGTCCTCATAGCTTGATCAGTCTCCTATGTGCCCCTTACGCTCCATCCGTGAATTACGGCTCGGCTCTGCAGCTCTGTTTTTCTGCCAGGCTTGATTTCTTCCTCCGAGCGATGTGCAAGGACCATCCGACCATCTGAGTGTCCTGGCTGGGATCTGCAGCCGTCCGGACACCCAGATGGTCGGATGGTCCAGGTACTTCCGATGGCTATCCTGGACGACCAATCGGCATCGGAGGTGGCCAAATCCACCTGGGCTTCTGTACTAAGGCGTCGTGTTCGGCGTCAAAATCTCACATGCTCATCCAGCCACGACATTCTCCCACATCTGCGCTTATCCTCAAGGATGGCATGTAGACGTCCGCAGAATTCTTCGAGTGTGCCGTGTGAATGGCCTCACCGTTCACCCGAACCTCTTCACCCGAACCTCACCGGCGGACCCGTCCTCATCGCGGCCGCTTCCGTTGGAGCTGGGTCCGTGCCCCGGGATCCATCGGGTAGGGCGCCTTCGCAAAGCCTGGGAAGAGTGCGGGGGCTCGGCAGGGCTCAGAGCGCGGGGGCTCAGGTTTTCCAGGTGACCTCAGTGACCTCCTGACACTGACTGAGGTCCTTTGGAGTTGTCAGCCATGAAGGATGAAGGAGAACCAGTGGCGTCTTTTTCCTCCAGGATGAAGGAGTTCAAGACGACGATTCACGGTCTGACGGGTGGACGCCCCAAAGCAGGAACAACCAGGAACTTCACCGGACTTCGGTTTTGACCTCCGTACGAGGCATCGGGTCTGAGTAACTCAGCTGGCCCAAATGGCCTCAGTTTGAGGTACAGTAATCTTTAGATTAGATAGGGGACCGTCGATGACGGTAGACCCCTTTGCCGGCCTTGCGTGGCCAAGCATTGCAGAAGCTCGCCCTTGAAGATATCCCACGAGTGCATCAGGATCTTGTCCTCGCCACACAGTTGTTCAAACACGGCAGTCGATCCAAAGAAGGGAAGGGAAATATGTTGGTGGCTGAGGATGGGCCGGGTCATCACTTCAGGCCATTGCGTGAACTGATTGCTGCAAACTGGGCTGTGGGGTTCTCAACATGGCTCGCTCAACGCGATGGTGGGGGGTGACTAGTTTCAGGTGTTCTGGGATTGGAACAAGTGAAGACCATTTGTCCTGAAAAGGTCAGCGGGGCTGAAGCCTGCAATTGTTTCAGTTCGAAATGGAGTGGCAGCAAATTGGACCTCCCAGCTCTCTGTACACGTTCTGTCGAGAGTTACACGGATTTCTGTGGTCAAAAGAGGTCTTTTCTCCATGTACCCCAGCATCCATCTCACTGTCCGTCGCGCTTGCGAGGAGATGCTTGTTTCCACTGTCAATATTGGTTCCATGGTCTCACCTGTTTCCAGCTTCCAGCAATACCAAGGCTCTTTCTGCCAGTAAAACATGCATCCATTCAAGGACTCGCGTAGAAACTCCAAGCCAGCACGGTGGAAGGCCACGGCCATGTATTTCAACTCCTGATCGAAGGCGGCGGCTCCATCCAGCACCACCCAGTGGTGCAGGGTGGTGATGGGATGGAAAATACATCGTCAGGAACGCGTCTATCCAACCACCCATTTCCTGGTTGGTGCTGATTCGAACCCCTTTTTCCACCTCTTGGGTTGCAGAAGGGGGCAAACCAGTCCCGAATATATAAGAAAGAAAAGGTTATCCACTGACCCTTCGGTGGTTCCATTTTTCCCGAATGCGTAGCGAAGGGTTCCCGTTTATAGTTGGGGGTCTGGGGGTTGGAGCTGTGTTCGCATGGCTTGCGTCGTGTCGTCGTTTGTTGTCATCTCTCGTCGTCTGTCGTCGTCTGTCGTCGTCTCTCGTCGTCGTGTCGTCGTCGCGTCTCAAATTTGCTGCCATTGGGGGAAGCTTTTGCAAGTGACTTTGCGTGGACGTGTCACGTGTCAGTTTGCGCCGCTATTCCATTGTGATTTGCGTGACACGGACATGTCGCGCGAGAAACGTGATGCATTTCGCTGCACAGGCGCAGCGTTTTGTGAGATCCGCAGTTTGCTGCGCAGTGCCATTGGGATTAGCGTTTGGAGAATCGTGGCCGTGCCATTGGGATTTGCGTTTCAGGGTGTGGCATCGAAGCTCGGTTTTCGTGACAAGTCTCAGCTGAAATGGCGATTTTCGTGGATGGGAGTGTGCTCTGAACGGGTCGAAATCATTCCAAACGTGTGGTGTGGTGCAAATTTTGTTGAAGCTCACATGCGATGATATTGTCACTTTTCGTGGCAGGCGCAGGACTTCGTGCGGGTTTTGAGGCGTGGAACTGCGATTCTCGTGGCAGGCGCAGGGAATCGTGAGGTTGGGAGGTGTGAGGGAGGTGACATTTCGTGGCAGGCGCAGTACTTTGTGCGCGTTAGACGTCGTGTGGATGGGGAAAGATTCGTGGCAGGTTGTGAGTTGTGGTAGAGGTGAATGTCGCTGTCACATTGGGATTGGCGTGTGAGCGGATGTTGTTTGGAGGGGCTGGAATCGCGAAACTGCTTGGCAGGGCTGCGTGATGTGTGTGCTCCGATGGGTGTTTCTGCTTGACTTTTGGAGGAAGTCTCGTACGAAACGCTCGTTTTGCAGACTTTGACGTGCGAGTTTTTGAGGAAGTCTCGTACGAAACGCTCGTTTTGGAGACTTGACGCGCAACCCTCTGCGGAGATCGTGCGCGTCGAGTGTGCGAAATGCAGGCGAGAGTGCGATTTGACCCATGCGCGCGCAACCCTCTGCGGAGATCGTGCGCGTCGAGTGCGCGAAATGCAGGCGAGAGTGCGATTTGCCCCATCCGCACGCAACCCTCTGCGGAGATCGCGCGTGTCGAGCGCGCGCGAAATGCAGGCGAGAGTGCGATTCGTCCGGTGCCCGCGCAACCCTCTGCGGAGATCGTGCGTGTGGAGCGCGCGAAATGTAGGCGAGCACTGGCGACTTTGCAGTACAACTTGAGTACGCGGAGCAATCTGTGGAGCTCGAAGCTGAGAACTGGCGACCTTGTAGTACAACTAGTACGTGGAGGAATGTGTGGAGCTGGAAGCTGAGAACTGGCGACTTCGTAGTTGAGTACGCGGAGTATCTGGGGAGCTGGAAGAGAGTCTCACAAGAGTGTCCCCCAACAGTGTCCCGCTAGAGTGTCTCACAAGAGTGTCCCTTAAGAGTGTCCTACAGGAGTATCCCACAAGAGTGTCCTACAAGAGTGTCCCACAAGAGTGTCAAACAAGAGTGTCCTACAAGACTGTCCCACAAGAGTATCCTACAAGAGTGTCCCACAAGAGAGTCCCACAAGAGTGTCCCACAGAGTGTCCCACAAGAGTGTCCCACAAGAGTTTCGGACAAGAGTGACCCACAAGAGTGTTCCACAAGAGTGTCCACAAGAGTGTCCCACCAGAGTGTCCTATAAGAGTGTCCCACAAGAGTGTCCTACAAGAGTGTCCCACAAGAGTTTCCTACAAGAGCGTCGCACAAGAGTGTCCCACAAGAGTGCCCCACAAGAGTGTCCTACAAGAGTGTCCCACAAGAGTGTCCCACAAGAGTGTCCCACAAGAGTGTCCCACAAGAGTGTCCCACAAGAGTGTCCGACAAGACTGTCCCACAAGAGTGTTCTACAAGAGTGTCCCACAAGAGTGTCCCACAAGAGTGTCCCGCAACAGTGTCGCTCAAGAGTGTCTCACAGGAGTGTCCCTTAAGAGTGTCCGACAAGAGTATCCCACAAGAGTGTCCTACAAGAGTGT